CCCGGCCTCCCAAGTAGCTGGGTTATAGACGTGCGCCACCATGCCCAGTTAATTTTTGTATTTTTAGTAGAGACAGGGTTTCCCCACTTTGGCCAGGCTAGAATTTTCTTTTTATTTTTTTTCCTTAAGAGACAAGATCTCACTATGTTGCCCAGGCTGGTCTGGAACTCCTGGTCTCAAGTGATCCTCCCGCCTTGGCCTCCAAAAACGCAGGGATTACAGGTGTGAGCCACTGAGCTCAGCCCCAAATCAGAGAATTCTGAAATGAGTTCCTGCCACGTTTTCCCAAAACACTGAATAAAATCTTCCCAAGAATAATATCAACAGTGGCCTTAAATTCCACGTAGACTTTAAATGATGAGGAAAAATTCATGCTTTTTGGCAACACCACCAGGCGGACCTGACATACAAATAACAGCTCACATTCGACTATAACCAGCACTCAGAGGAGCCGGTGAGCTGTACAGGCAAAGGACAATTCATGAAGCATCCAAAATGTCCTCTTCAAAAGCTATCATGGTGCAGAGAAATTTCACTCCTTAAAAGACTGAAATAGGCCAGGCACGGTGGCTCGCATCTGTAATCTCAGCATGTTGGGAGGCCGAGGTGGGAAGATCATTTGAGCCCAGGAGTTTGAGACCAGCCTGGGCAGCAAAGTGAGACCCCGTCTCTACAGAAAATTTTAAAATGGGGCAGGTGTGGTGGTGCACATCTGTAATCCCAGCATGCCAGGAGGCCAAGGCAAGTGGATTGCTTGTAGCCTAAAGTTCAAGACCAACCTGGGCAACATAGCAAGACCCTGTTCATAGAAAACAAACAAAAACATTATCTTCACCAAAGAGATTGTGAAAAACATATACATATATTTTTTAAAAATTAAAAATAAAAACATTAGCAGGGTGTAGTGGTGGGTGCCTATAGTCCCAGCTACTCTGCAGGCTAAGGCAGGAGGATGGCTTAAGCCCGGGAGGTTGGGGCTGCAGTGAGCCGTGATTGCACCACTGCACTCCAAGATGGGCCACAGAGCAAAACCCTGTCTCTAAATTTAAATCTATATATATATACTTTTTTTATATATAAAAGATAAAAATAAACCAACATAGGTAACTTTGGACAGAATTTCTAAAGTTTCTAGGGCTTTATATGAGACTTAAGAAACGTAAATGACTTTGTTCCTTAATTGAAAGTAGGGAACATCAAAATCAGAATCCATGTCCCTGCAGGAATCCACCTTATCTGCTAAGGAAAACAGTCGTGAGCTATCCCGGCTTGAAGAAAGGAGCACTATCTAACTAAAGCTCTGTTCTGCAAGCTCCTCCCTATGTTTTAACTTGCGGGAGTTCAAGAATTCCGTCCTGGGGAATTCTCTCACTTGCACACCCCACCCACTCTCATGTCCCTGCGGTTCTTCTGTGGGATTTTAGATTTGCGAACTGTAGAGTACTCAGGAGCCCATCGCCTAGGCTGCTGTCCTGCTCCAGGAGGCGCAGGGGGTGTGTGTGAGTTCCTCAGGGCTATCATTAACAAAGTACCACAAACTGAGGGTTGGGGTGGGGGGATGCGGCAGACAACAGACATGCATTCTCAGTCCAGGTACAGTGGCTGACACCTGCAATCCCAGCACTTTGGGAGGTTGAGGCAGGAGGAGAGATTCAGGCCAAGAGTTTGAGACCAGCCTGGGCAACACAGCAAGACCTCATCCTACAAAAACTTTTAAAAGTTAGTCAGGCGTGGGGGCACATACCTGTAGTCTCAGCTAGTTGGGAGGCGGTAGAGGCTGCAGTGGTCCATGACTGTGCCACTGAATTCCAGCCTGGGCAAGAAGGAGTGAGACCCCATCAAGAAAGAAAGAGAAATGAAGAAAGGAAGGGAAGAAGGGAGGGAAAGAAAGAGAGAGAAAAGGAGAGAGAGAGAGAGAAGAGAGGAGAGGAGAGGAGAGGAGAGGAGAGGAGAGGAGAGGAGAGAGAAAGAGAGAGAAGGGAGGGAGGGAGGGAGGGAAGAAAAGAAAAAAAAGAATAGAAAAGAGAAAGAAAGAATAGTGAAACCCTGTCTCCACTAAAAATACAAAAGTGAGCTGGGCATTGTGGTGCGGGCCTGTAGTCCCAGCTACTCGGGAGGCTGAGGCAGGAGAATCGCTGGAACTTGGGAGGTGGAGGCTGCAGTGAGCCGAGATTGCACCATTGCACTCCAGCCTGGGTGACAGGGCAAGACTCTGTCTCAAAAAAAAAAAAAAAAAAAAAAGGAAAAGGAAAAGGAAAGGAAGAAAGAAAAGAAAGGTATTCTCTCATGACTTTGGAGCCCCAAATCCAAAGTTCAGCATGATGGTGTTGGTGGGGTTGGTTCTTCTGCAGGCTCTGATGGAGAATCTGTCCCTGGCCTCTCTCCCAGGTTCTGGGAGTAGCCGGCAATCCTTGGAGTCCCCTGGCTTGGAGATGCACCATTCCTCCAACCTCTAATTCTATCCTCACAAGGTGTCCTCCTCTCGGTGTTCGGCCGTCTCTGTGTCTGTGTCTCCTTCCTTTTCTCGTAAGGACACCAGTCACACAAGGTTAAAAGCACACCGTACAGCAGAATCAGTCCATCCTACTTGCATTTCATTTTTATTTTTTTTGTTTTGTTTTTATAAACAGGGTCTTGAGTGCAGTGGTGGCATCACAGCTCAATGCAGCCTCGAGCTCTTGGCCTTAAGCAATCCTCTTGCCTCATCCTTCCTAGTAGCTGGGAGCACAGGTGTGCACCACCACACCTGAATAATTGTTTAATCTTCTGTAGAAACTGAGTCTTGCTACGTTGCCCAGGCTGGTCTCAAACTCCTGGGCTCAAGTGATCCTTCCACCTCAGCCTCCCAAAGTGCTACAGTTACAGGCATGAGCCACTGTGCCTGGCCACTTGCATTTTAATTACATCTGCAAAGACCCTATTTCCAAATAGCATTCCAATTTCATTCACAGGAGTCGGGGTGAGGATTTCAACATATCTTTTCAGGAGACACAATTCGACCTTCAACAGGGTGGAATCCCCAGAACTGGAGCCCCTCACCCAAGATTTCAGGCACACCCCACAGTATCATGCTTAGGACACCTGCAAGCCACAGAAAAATGCAACAAGGCAAACGAGAAAGGGAAGGGTCCCACCTGCAAGCCCAGCCTTCAAAAGAACTCCTTTGTTTTTGTGAAACAGAGTCTCACTCTTGTCACCCAGGCTGGCATGCAGTGGCATGATCTCGGCTCACTGCAACCTCAGCCTCCCGGGTTCAAGCGATTCTCCTGCTTCTGCCTCCTGAATAGCTGGGAATACAGGTGTGCACCACCACACCCAGCTAATTTTTGTATTTTTAGCAGAGATGGGTTTTCACCGTGTTGGCCAGGCTAGTCTGAACTCCTGACCTCAGGTGATCCACCTGCCTCGGCCTCCCAAAGTGCTGGGATTACAGGTATGAGCCACCATGCCCATCCTCTGCGTATGATTTTGTTCGAAGCTCAGGCAGCACTGGGTCCAGAGGAGAAGGCAGGTGCACTTGTTCCGGTACACACAAGGTGCTTCAATAATATGATGGGAGGCACCCTGTGTCCCGGGGACAGCAGGTGAATGAGGGAAAACAAGTAGGTGTTTCTTAGATGGGGGAAGTGAAGGACAATGATGAGAGCAAAGAAGGAGGCCGGTCAATGAAGGGTGGCCTGGGAGAAGCACCGGAGTGAGTGGGTGAACAGCACCTTCTACCTTCTCCTGCAGGGAGGTGCTGGCAGGAGGCCAGTCCATGAGGATATTGGTAGGAGGATGCCGCATTGCTGGGGCTTTATATGGGATACTTCAGGAGTTCCCTGAGAATGACCAGAGAGAGGCAGGTCATTGCAGAGGTACCTGGGAGGACTAGTGAGGCTATAAAGTGAGGAATGTCTTCAAGGGGAGCAAGGCTGGGAGAGAAAGATCAGGTAGGAGGGACGCCAGTACAGAAAATCAGGGCAGAGAGACGGGACCCAGATAAAGCAGAAGATGGATAGGTGGACAGGAGAGGCGTGGCAATAAGACGGCAGAGGGAAGACTTGGGGAATTGGATGGAAGGCACCCATGGAGGGAAAGGAGAGACACGCAGGACATCCTTGTCTAAGACACCTGGCTGGAAACGGAATTACCCTGCTGGAATGGTCTGAATATCTTGTGTCCTCCCAAATCCCTATGTTGGATCCTCACTGCCACGGTGATGGTGTTAGATGGTGGGTCCTTTGGGAGGTCATGAGGGTGGAGTCTCATGAATGGGATGAGTGCCCTTATAAAAGGGACCCCAGAGAGATCCCTCGCCCCTTCCACCATATGAGGACACAGCAAAAAGGCACCATCTATGAACCAGGGAGCGGGTCCTCACGAGACACTGAATCTGCCATGTCTTGATCTTGGACTTTCCAGCCTCCAGAACCATGAAGCAAATGTCTGTTATTTGTAAATTACCGAGTCTAAGATCCTTTGTTATAGCAGCCCGAATGGACTCACACACCTACCCTAGGACATAAGACTGTTGTGTACCATCAGCTGGAAGGGTGTGGGCTGCATCTAAATGGGATATCTCTCATCCACAGTCAACCAGAAACCCACGAAACCTGAAGCCCAGCCCCGTCCAAAAGACTGTGGTCCCTTAAAAATCAACTTAACCAGTTCTCCAGAGAGCTATAGAAGCAGAACCCAAGGAGGTGAGGAGACAAAGATTCTTGCATCCTTTTCCAGGCAGAGATACTTGGCTCACCCAGGAGAGGAGCTAGGGGCCTTGGGCATGGACTTCTGAACACAGAGCATTTCTTTTTGGACCTGGTCAGCCATGGAGGTCAGGAGCCCTGGAGGTTTTCCAGCTCCGAGATCAGAGGCTGATAAGACCTGACAGGTGGAGACTGCTGTGGCCTGAGGCTTTGCACGCAGGCCACGGTCTCGGCCCACCCTGCTTCTTACAAGAAGAGACACACAGGGGCCTAGGGAGGGTGTGTGGGGAGAGGCCTCAGGAGGGGACTCACAGCCTGATGAGAAACGGGTGACTGACTTCCTTCAGGACAGACTTCTCATTGTGCACGTGCTGCTCCTGCTTCAGGCGGATGACATCGGGAATGCTCATCACCTTGAGAGCGAAGAAATGCTTGGCTGTCTTCTCCTTCACCAGGTGCACCCGCCCGAACGTCCCAGTGCCTAGAGAGAGAAGAAATCGACAGAGCCATTAAGTCTCCTGGCAAAGGGAGAAACCACCGCAGCCACGCAATCAGCGGGGGGCTGCACCAGGACAGCAAACACAGACCCCAAGCGAAACTTTCAGAGACTGAGTGTCACGGCACACGTGGGCTGATGGCATTTAGTGAGAGGCACTCACCTGGAATTTTCCACTGAATACAGAAATTGCAGAGAGAGAAAGAGGGAGAGAGGGAAACAGAGAGAGCCATCTGCCTCTGAATGGTTCTTCAATTTGGAGACAAACTGGCCACAATATCTGCAGATCAGTCTTTGCAGACAGCACACCCACACGCCCCACACACCCACATGGAGACGCATTAGAGTAACAGTAAATGGACTTGTGCAACATGCCTTTTTCTCTTCAGGCTCTCTGGTTTCATCAGAAATCCAGACAGGGTGTAAAACACAGCCCTCCTCAACACGGCTGTTTCCTTAACGCACACGAAGGCTTGCTCAAAGCACGGAGTCCGTATTCTACAATCTGCCGTGGATTGGGATGAAGTGCTGTAGGTGCCCACAACAGAAAACAACAACAACAACGGCAACCACTACAAATACCAGAGAAAACCAACAGCTCTACAGTATTCTGCTGGGACAGTTTCAATCCAAACACTCTCTTCTCCTCCTTCCCCTCCTCTACCTCTTCCTTCTCTTTTTTCTCTTCCTCAATCTTCTCCTCCTTCTCTTTCACCTCCTCCTCCTCCTCTCCTCTATTTCCTTTTCTTTTCTACTTCTTCCTCCTCCTCCATCTCCTCCTCCTCTACTTCCTCCTCTCACTGGGGTGCATCTAAATGAAGAAATCTAATAGTCAATGAGATATAAGAGAAAATCAGAATCTCTAAACAAGCTTTGCTTGTTCCTCCTCCTTCTATCTCCTCCTCCTTCTCCTCTTCTTCCTCTTCATCCTCCTCTTCTTCCTGTAATACACTGATCTCACAAGGTGTGCATGTGTTCACGCACATATTGAAATATTCTTCACGTAACATAAATGTTCTTGGGTTGGGAACAAATGAGTTTGCTCTGTCGCCCAAGCTGGAGTGCAGTGGCGCCATCACAGCTCACTGCAGCCTCCACCTCTTGGGCTCAAGCAATCTTCCCGCCTCAGCCTACCCGGTTAATTTTTGTACTTTTTGTAGAGAGGGGGTCACACTACGTTGCTCAGGCTAGCCTTGAACTCCTGGGCTCAAGCGATCCTCCTGCTTCGGCCTTCCAAAGTGCTGGGACTACAGGCATGAGCCACTGCGACTGATGCAGGATTTCTAGAGTATCCCTAAATTGCCTTTGATCTACCTTGATCCCAGCGTTAGCAGCCCCTTACTGACATGCAAGTCATTCCTCAGCAATATTTTTAAACAACCCATCCACAGCTTCCGACAGAGATGAGCAACTAAAACAAAACTGCCCTCCCATATTATGTGATCACATTCACCCCAGACAGCAGAGCAGGCTTCTCAGAAACTGACATTCAGACAAAGGACGGTTTGGAAGTGTATCCTTCTGAGGAACCAGCATCTGTTGACGAGCAAAGCTCACTAATCAATATTGATCCATTTACCTATCCATTCATTTGCTGATACTCCTGTGCCTGCTTTATGCTAGATCGCAAAACTCAAGAAAACCAGGATCTTCCAGACACCTGCACTGCTATGTTTATGGCAGCACTATGCACAACAGCCAAGACATGGAAACCACCTCAGTGTCCGTCCAAGGGCAGATGGATATAGAAAACATGGTACATATACACGATGGAATACCATTCAGCCCTAAAAAAGAAGGAAACTCTGTCATTTGCGGCAACATGGATGGAATTGGAGGCCTTTATGTTCAGTGAAATAAGCTAGGCACAGAAAAACAAATATTAAATATCGCATGATCTCACTTATACAAGGAATCTGACATGGTTTGGCTGTGTCCCCACCCAAGTCTGATCTTGAATTGTGGCTCCCATAATCCCCACGAGTCATGGGAGAGACCAGGTGGGAGGTAACTGAATCATGGGGGTGGGTTTTTCCCATAGTGAATAAGTCTCACGAGATCAGATGTTTTAATAAATGGGAGTTCCCCTGCTCGCGCTCTCTTCTTGCCTGCTGCCATGTAAGATGTGACTCTGCTCCTCCTTTTACCTTCCACCATGACTGTGGGACCTCCGCAGCCATGTAGAACTGTGAGTCCATTAAACCTCCTTCCTTTATAAATTAAGCAGTCTCAGGTATGTCTTTATGAGCAGCGTGAGAATGGACTAATGCAGAATCTAAAATAGTCAAACTCATAGAAGCAGAGAGTAGAGAGGTAGTTATCAGAGGACAGGGCTTGAGGGGGAAGGGGAAATATATTGGTCAAAGGATACAAAGTTTTAGTTGAACAAGATAAATAAACCATGGAGATTTACCATACACCCAGTTCATATAGTTAACAATACTGAACTGATATATGAAATTTTTGTATATAAAAATCTCACACATACAATAGTGAAATTGTATATACGAAAATTTGCTTAGAGGGTAGATCACGTTACATTGTTTTGTCTTTTTTTTTTTTTTGGAGACAGGGTCTCTCTCTGTTGCCCAGGCTGGAGTGCAGTGGCACAGTTATAGCTCACTGCAGTGCTGACCTGCCAGGCTCAAGTGATCCTCCCACCTCTGCCCAAATAGTTGGGACTACAGGCATGCACCATCAAGGGCGGATAATTTTTTAAATTGTGACTGGGTATTTTTGACTGGCTTGAGAAGAAAAAAAAAAGACCACAACCATACAATGGACTTCCTTCCAAGAGTCCGGAATGCCATTGATTGCACATGGTAACATGAAAAGAAAAAGTTGTACTTAAGCTACCAATTTTACTTAAGAGTATTTGCTGTAAACTAAAATCCCCATGTTGTAAAATATATGAGCTAACGAATGATGAATTTACTAGCTTAGGGCAGACTGGGAAGGGAGGAGAAGAAGTAACCTTTGCTTTTAAGTGAAGTCTCCGATAATGAATATTTTATTATGGCAGAAATAGAAAGTGAACTACAAGATAAAGAAAAAGTGTAAGAAGTAAACAACGTCAATAGCTGACAAGTGTTAAATACTTCTTTTTAAAAAGAAGTAAACAACGAGATAGTAACACTTTTTAAAGTATATTCTCTTAGTTAATTTGGAAATAAAATAGGTTTTATTACAGTACGACATGGTGTGGACAAAATTAGGTGGAATGAGGTCAAAGACAGGAAGTAGGAGAAGGGCTTTGAGGACTGTGAACTGATCCAGTTTAGGTGTTTGACTATGGCCACTGATGTTTCAACTGGATAAAACACAATTAGGAATCAGGAACACTGGCATCCAACCCAAGCTTTGCCTGGGATTGGACCTATGAAATGGGCAACAGAGTAACCTTTTAGTCTCCTGTTGCTCTTCTTTCCAACAGAACATACAGATTACTGGGAAACATTAAATTCTTGCCACACCTTAAAATTCTAATAATGCAATGAATATGGTCCCTGACTTTTCTTCCTCTGTCTGGTTCCTTCCTCCTTACTTACCTTTCTCTATCACCCACTCCAAGGAACCCATTTGTTACTTGGCTGTGTTTATTGCATAACATTCTGTCTTCTTAGCACTTGTATTTGACCCTCAACAGAGAGAATTCTCCATGCCTACTTTAAGAACAACAGCTATGACTCAACAGATTTTTTCACGCTTCTGTGACTTCTTTAAACCTTTCTCTGAGCTGTGTGAGTTATAAACATACAAAACTCAAAACATGTTACTTATGCACTACAGCGGATCTTTGCACTACCCTGGGAGATGTGGTCAGTCCCGTCAACGCCACAATCAGACTGCAGAAGTATGTCGGTAAACAACCTTATTCAAAGCAGACAGAAGTGGCATGCTGTAATGTTAAAGGTTTATCAGCTTAAGTGCACAGAAGACAAAGGCAACACTTAATGGTGCTGGTAGATTTTCCCTGCTTGGTGTTCGGAGGCTCTCCAGTGCACATTCCCCAGTTACCATTATCCCACTTGAGTAGAAAATGTCTATTTTTAGCCTTCTCTGCAGCTAAGGGTGGCCATCTGACCCAGCTTTGCCCAATAAGACATAAAAAAATAGTCTTTTCAAGTGTTTCTAGGTAGGTCAGATCTTTCCTTCCTGATAAGAGAAATCTTGAAGGTAAGTGGTCCATTCCCCACCCTAGAGATCCCCTCCATCTCTCTCCAAGCTAAGTAGTAGTGTTACACACGAGGGAAATCTGATGTGGAGTTTATGTCTTTTCTTTTAATTTTAGATTCAGGGGGTCCATGTGCAGGTTCGTTACGTGGGTATATTGCATGATGCTGAGGTTTCGGCTTCTAACGATCCCGTCACCCAAGTAGTAAACAGTTTCCAATAGGAAGTTTTTCAGTCTTTTCCCCACTCCCTCCCTTCCCCTTTTTGGAATCCCCAGTGTTTATTGTTCCCATCTTTGTGTCCATGAAGTACTCGATGTTTAGATCCCACTTATAAGTGAGAACATGCACTATCTGGCTGTCGATTTTTTGCATGAATTTGTTTAGGATAGTAGCCTCCAGCTGCATCCACGTTGCTGCAAAGGACACGATTCTGTTCTTTTGCATGGCTGCAATGTGGAGATTAAAGTCAAAACTTTAAGGGGAAAGCTTAAGTATGGCTTCTACAATCCCTTAGCCACAGTGGCTAAAGCTAAAGGCTCTGAATACTCAAAGTGTCTTCATCAACACACTTGGCCACAAAACTGGACCTCGCCTAACATTAGACTATTCAGGCTTGATCCTCCTTGGGGGTGAATATCTACCTATTTCACTATAGAAATATTCTCGTCTTGATAACAACATCCAGCCCAGACTCTGCTGAGGGTGTTGTATAATTTAAAATGCAGAATGCACCCATTCTCATCCCAAATTTAGAAAAATCCCCAAATTCCCAAATGTACCTGATCTATACATTTCAGAGACTTAGAAGGA